CTACGTGGCAGGTACTACTTTTCACGGAATGGAGAGAGAGCCCTCAAGTTCAGGAAGAATCGTCCCATGACTCATCAATTGGGATTTTTCGATATCCGGCTTATGCCGAGATACCATAATCGACAACATCGTTGAAGAATACGAATGGTTTTTCCAACACCTCCACAATTTTGCTAAGGAAGCCGAGAGTCCAAGAAGTATGAGGAAACGCCTCTCAACAAAGAATTTGGAGCCGATACGCCAACGTGAACGAGTGCGGCCCAAAGGCAACTACCGACTGACGTCCGAGCTTGCGAAGCGATGCAGAGAAGCGATAAAAAAAGACGTCAAGGAGTAGCAGTGTTGGTTGACGCGGCGGAGTCTGGAAAAAGTATGCGCAAACCCGCCGAACTTCGTTAACTCCAAGACAAAGGCGACCGCATTTCGTCGTCCTGACGGAACTACAACTACTTCGCGAATATCAGTGGAGACGTCATCCACGACTTCTACTCAAACCTCTTTAACAGCCACGTCCACCTGTCTCCAAGCCTATTCAGGGAAGACAAGTATGTCGCGCCGTTTATTCTTCTTTTGGAGATCAGAGTTAAATCAGAATTGGAGAATCTTTCGTCAGTCTTCATCAAGACCTTGGAAAGGCTGTTCACGCGGTACGACGGAAGGTAAGCTTCCAAGACAATGGAAGGCAGCAAGACCTTTTTTTGCAGAACAAGAAAGGAGATCTTTGCGACTCGGCAACTATCGCCCTATCTGTTTGTTGTCTGTAATCTACAAACTCTTTACGCGAATTATTCTCAGCAGGATCAGAAGAGAGTTAGACGAAGGACAACTGCGCGAGCAAGCTGGGCTTCGCAAAGAACAGCACGATAGATCACATACACACGGTGTAAGGCTCATCCAAGAGTCCTGGAGTACAAGATGAAGCTCGTTCTCACCTTCATCAACTTGAAGAAGGCCTTTGACTCGGTTGAGACTGAAGCCGTCATCGATGCCTTGAGCAATCAAAATATCCCTACTCAGTACATCAAGATAGTTCGCGAGCTGTACAACGACTTCACAACCAGCATCACACCATTCTACAAGGAAGTCATCATCGACATGAAGAGAGGCGTACGACAAGGCGATACTACATCGCCAAAACTATTCAGTGTCGCTCTAGAGAGCGTCATAGGTAAGCTGAAATGGAACGAAATGGGAGTGAAAGTCAACGGCCGGCAACTACATCATCTTCGCTTTGCTGATGGCATTGTATAGATAACGCCAAGCATTACGCAAGTGGAACCAATTCTGGCCCAGTTGGACGACGTGTATGAAAATATCGATCTACAGGTGAACCTAAAAGATTATGTTCATGAGAAACGGAAGAGTGCCTGATGCTCTCATGCTCAACGGACTAACATCACCGAATGCTCAAACTGCACCTACCTAGGTCGGGAAATCAACATGATAAACGTCTAGCACCGGAACTGAGTAGAGGAAAGGAGCAGGACGGAGAGCATATAAGAACAATTGAGACGTAGTGCAGAAGGCCAAGAACATCCGGCTCCGCGCCCTCTTCTTCAACTCGACGGCTCTTCCTGCTTTGACATATGCTTCAAAAACATGGACAATGAGAAATCGCAATAAACACGCGGTTAGCGTCATCGAACGTGCTGTTGAGAGCGTGATGTTGGGAGTGAACCTTACGTCAACGATCGAACATCAGGGACACTGCCACATACGCCAAGCGAACAAATAAGATGGGCGGGACATGTGATGCGTTTTGACTACAACCGGTGGATGAGAGCTGTAACAGATTGCCTACCACGGACTCAAACGCAAACGAGGAGACCGCCGATGCGATGGTCAGACATGTTCACAAATCCTTCAATAAATTCTTAGAGAGTGTTCCACTTGTTCCTGGTGCGAGTAAAGACTGGTCCACAATCGCACGAGACAAGGACGAATGGAAACATTCCCGGTATCCGCTCGTGCAACACGATGATCAACGGGATACAGGTGATACAGGTGATTGATACATACGTTGTTGTACAAGGTGCGTCAAAAGTCTGGGAGCCAACTTAATCATGTTGTAAATTACAGCAATACTCATAATTTTGATTCCGGTGTGCCTCATAATGCTGCGATCATCATCTTCATATCACAATTTACCTAGCTGGAAATGTTTGCCATACGCTCTTGTAAGAATTGGAGTCATTTAACAGGCTCCTAATGGGAGCGAGAAAATCCAAATTTTTAGTACCAACACTTCATTTTGTAGCTAGAGATACTGTAGATATTCTACAATCCTTTGATGCGCGGAGAGGGAGCTCTGCGCTATCGCATCGTAGTATTTGCATTTGCCAAAAGTCTTTTAAAACAAAGAATGAAGGTTGAAAGTTACCTGCCGTGCCATTGGTCATCTGTCTTCAAAACAAATTTGAAAGCCATGGAAGCACAACAGGCGGTGAGACCAAGGCTATATTCTTCTGAATGGGCATCTATCAAAATTCCGTCAAAGTAACACTTTTTACACTTTTTGAATGTTATTTTCCCGCAAACTTCGCGCAGTTGTAGCAAAATCCGTTATGCGGCGTGCACATGCTTTTAATTAAAAATCCAATATTTTTACTTTTAGATATTGCAAAAAAAATTTTGGAAATATGTTGTAGACAAAAGCTTGCTCATCCTGCTGCACATTTGCTTAGTGAAAGAAGCAGTTATTGTAAAGGCGTTGGACGAATCTTATTAACTGAGTGCCACGATAGGTGGACTCGCTAGGATTTTGATGGGCTGCTTTGAAGCAAAAAGGGCAATCTCGAAATTTGAGAGCACCGCTATATTTGTAAAAGTTCGAATTATGTGCACCAAATTTTGTTTTAGGGAACGGCCATAGGTTGTCGGTGTTGTCGGTGTTGTCGATGTTGTCGGTGTTGTCGGTATTGTCGGTGTTGCCGGGGTTGTCGGGGTCAGAGACGGTTTAGAGAGCGCGCGAAGCGTGGAGTCTATCATGAGGTCCTACAACGACCGGCAATCTCGGCAGCCGACAACACCGACAACCCCGACAACACCGACAACACCGACAACATCGACAACATCGACAACATCGACAACATCGACAACACCGACAACACCGACAACATCGACAACACCGACAACATCGACAACACCGACAACATCGACAACACCGACAACCTATGGCCGTTCCCTTAGGTACTTTCTTCTGATTTTATCTGACAAAGTACTAGGCTCCCAGACTTTTGACTCACCCTGTATATGCTGATCTTTGATAAAACTCGCTCTTTCTGCTCTAAGCCCATTCCTGTGAATATCGCATGAAATGTTTCTATAGAATCATGTGTTACATCGTATTGATTAGAGAATAATGTGATCAACGATAAACCTGCTACAAACTGATAATAACCGAAACGTGCCCCAATAACGATTTGCTGCGCTGTAGCTGATTCCGGCTAGCGTGCGCGGCATTTTCATGCCAGAGAGTGAAGAGACTGAAGAGAGAGCAGACTAATCAGCCGTAAACGTGACGCAGTAAACGGACTCTAGCTATGCCGATTTTGGCCTAGTTGGGATTGGGGCAAATTTGGCCCTTAGTAAACCCCCATTCATTTCAGCTGAATTGAGATTAGTCATTTAGAAGAACTTCCTCGGGTGAACCTAATGCCCGCCTTCCCGTGCTTTATGATAGTCAGTTAAACATTCAGAAGGATGTTAGGTCAAGCGTCACAGTCAGTTCTTCAAAATGCCACTTATCCGAGGATGAATTTTCGGGTGACCCGAGAGAGGTAGTGTGCAAAAGAGGAGAATCAGACAAAATTCCCGTAAGTTGCCCGTGAGTAACTTACGGGACAATTTAGCTGACGTATTGTTGCGGTGCAAGAACGGGCGGCGTGGCATTATGGAGCAAAGCTACGCCGCATTCCCCTGCGGTATATCCTGAGGGCCATTTGCGTTGCGTCGCTTGTAATTGCAGCCGCAGAGGAGCTGGCGTCACCCAGCGGATTGAGCCATTCCCCATATTCTCTATAGATAAAGAGATCAAAATGTTTATGATAAAATTTTGGAGATGAATCAAATCAAAGACAGAATATAAAGAAGAGGTGTCTGCAGAACAGAATCCAAAAAAAAGTAAAAGAAGAGGAAGTGATTCTTCTTGAAGAAAATTCTTGACTGAAAACTTCTGTCCCTGTTCTCTACTTTTTCTTGTTGTACTTCTTCTCTCAACCTTTTGATTCGATTCAGCCTTTGGTCCATTTAAAATTATCTGTTTTTTTTTTCGTTTTTGGTTTTTTGTTGCATTTATGCAGTCTGAACATTTCTCAGAGTGTAGCAATAGGGAATGGCCAGATCTCCTGACAGTAGCAGCGCTACTCCTACGGCTGCAATTAAAGGCGACGCAACGCAAGTGGCCCTCAGGGTATACCGCAGGGGAATGCGGCGTGGCTTGCTCCATAACGCCTGCCCCCCCAGTTTCTTTCAACGATGCGCAAAAATTTGCCACTGGCCGATCCCAAACCATGGTCGTGCGCATTGAGTACCTATCGCATACCGTTTAACCAAACCTGCTCAAAAGATGTAAGTCATTTACTCTCTGATAACGCGCAAGATTTGTATGTCTAGAAAGCATCCGCATTCAGCTCAGTAACTCACCGTATGCAGGACTGACGCGCTATACGTTTAACGTAGGCCCGCCCTCAGCCGATTTGCGCAGAGGGGGTTTACTACGGCCCTGTATCTGAGTACTGTTATATCGATTTGAAATGCACGTACTGAACATCACTGCGGAGCACGCGTCGCAAGGCAAAACGCTTGTCCCGTATAAATTGCCGTCGTAGAAGTCGTGCTCTTGCAATTAGCCGCTCCGCTCGTGGTCGCAACGTTTGGGCAGTCATTGCAGTCACGACTCTATGTTGAAATCACAAACTACACCTTTTTTACGCCAATATAAAGTTTGTTTCTTAATATCAGATAACGTGCTTTTTTTCTACTACACCGACAATAACTACTTCGCAACAATTCATTTTGTACAACAGAACCGGTAAACGCGATAAAATGCCAGTCATCCAAAAACTACCGAGATCATTGCTCAAGGAAGTAATTATTTTGCTCTGGTTATATTTTCATAGTCATTCACTATCAGTAAACGTCACAATCTCCATAACAGTATGTGGTCGAGAAGTACATGTAATGACAAACACATGGCCTAAATTCTGTAGGGGACTCAGTAGGGGCAGCGCTTTGGTCTGAGATGCTCGACACCGCTCGTTGTGGCCGCTTCAGATTTAAGTTGCTGAATAGTTGTCCCAGCACTCGGCCACGATTACTGAGATGCCAGAAGGATTTCAGAGATCTAAAAAGATCGACATTGTTCCAAAGCAGTGTCCGCGCAAATTTGGGGCACCTCAGTTCAATAGATTAGTAAGGCGAGCTCCTCACAGAAGCCATAGGCCGACTGCGTCTGCTAATGCTTCTAGAGCGAGAAAATCTTCTCAAAAGGTTCGAACATAGCCGCTCCTCGATTTATTCTCGTCCTTACCGAAGCAGAAGATCGTGCGGCCGTCTGCCACGTCTGCCACCTGTGGCGACTTGTCCTAGCACGTTCTCCTGTCGTAAAGTCGAGCCTAAATTGGGGGGGGGGGCTTATTTTCGAGCTCTCAAAGCGATTTTGTCGCACCAGAAGCAATATTTTACAGTCGCAGTTAGGCTATGGTTTGAATGAGGAGTCCATTTTAGTAATGTTGATACTAAGGGCTACTAATTTTGCTCGACTCTGTTTTTCATATATATAGCAACCAAGGAATATGTGAGAACAAATTCTACGCTTTTTACGATTACGCCTTCTTGAAGTAGATCGATTCTCCCTAAGGCAAGAAAAAAATTGCGCGGTAACGCATTCGAACTTGGTTACTCAAAGATCGTGCCTGAGATGTTTTTTTTGTGAAACAGGCGAGCTCAGTCGACTTTTTCTGCTGCTGGCTTCACTTCCTTCGAAAAATCGCTTTTCCATGGAAAAGTGACAAAACATCTTGTCATAGTTACCTGACATAATAAACTACAGGCAGAAGGGGCTTAATTTTGAACCACTACCTTTTTTGAAGAACAATAAGAAGACGATTAAGAAGGAAATACAACGAAGAACTATCTCTTTGTATGACGCACTTGAAATGGAAAGTTCCTAAGAATTTGAGGGAGCATTGGTGAAATACTTGTTGTAATCAGTTGAAAGAGTTTTTTGTTTTAATATGTTCGAGGATTTACCCAAAGACTGTTGAGGCCGAAAGGATTACTTTACTCAGAGAGTTCTTTTACTACAACTGAACATCAGGACTCTTTTTGCTACAAATACCTTGATTCTTCAAATAGAATACGCTGGAATATTCTTTACCCTCAAAGAAGCACTTATATCTTGGACTCCCTTCAGCAAAACGCATTTCTAGAACCATCTTGAAGAACTACGCATACAAGAGGCTATCAGAAAAATGAGAGTAAGTTTTTATTTTTAGACGACTTTAGTTGGAACAACTCCTTTGTAGACATTTTTGTTTAGAACAAAAAGTAAGTGTTCACGAGGTTGACGTCAATGCCTCCTAATGAGTCCAAAATTGAGATGTGATCAAAACAGATAATTGGCAATTTTGAGAGCGTACCTGGGTGAGTCGTTTGCATAGTGGAAGTCGAGTTGAGGCCTTGCTTCAGCCCTGAAATTACTAATCATAATTGTCGACACAGCTCAAATTTATGGTTTTTTAAAGTAAAGTCCAAAAATTGGCACTAGGACAGCCTTTTCGAAATTCCGAGGCTCAAGAGCAAATAGCACAAAATCTCGTCAAGAGCTCATTTTTGAAAACTCATAAACTTACCTCAACACAATAAAAAGAATAATCGAAGCAATAGAAAGTGTCCACATTCCCATACAGAAACGGATTTTGTAATGATGATGGCTCCCCTGTGAATAGGTAAATGCATGGAGAATCAAGCTTCAGTCGAAAATAGTAGCGAATGACGTCAAAGCAAAAAAAAAGAATCCAAACAAAATCAATGATATCAGAAGGGCAAGATGGTAAATGGAAAAGAAAACTGTGTTGTCCGGAAATATTGCTTAGTCAAAGGAAATAAAATTAGCGCATGTTTTACCACTAATAGCCGAATGTATGCAAGTGCTGCATGAAAATAATAGAAGAGGTTCTATAAAATAGTGTCATTCGAGAGCGCTGTTTCGAAAAAATATATAGAATAGAAAAATTAATGAAATATAAATATTATAGAAAATAGACCGATAATTATTTCTCTTTTTTCGTTATGAATATATCTTTGAAAAACTACTTAATCTTTACTAAGTCTGGTAAAAAAAACTACTTCCTCCTTTTTTAGAGATTTCATCATCCAACCAGGAATAGGATCCAAGTGCCATACCAGATGATGACCGAGCATGTGTCCCCCCCCCCCCGACTCTACGTGTGATCAATGTCTAATGAGATAACCTTACGATCGTAAATAAGTCAGTAGAAGTCCTATCAGGTTCTGCATCATTTGACTCAAAAAGCAAAACTTCCTTTGGTTTACCTGAGAAGTTCTTGAGAGGTTTTTGATATGTAAGAAGAAGTTTCCTGGAAAGAATATATGAATGGAAAAAAGAATTTCTGCCTTTTTAAATATTACGAGTTACAAGAGTTCCCAGAAATGCAATGTGAAATTTTATCTCTGCATACTTGAATTTATAAATTTAATAATAAATATATAGAATCATGTATGACACACATCTATATCCAAAAAATTGCCTTCTTACTTGCACAATTTCCTGGAACCTTACTTTTCAAAAAATTCATGTACATACTTTTTACTCCTAAATAAACTTACTTTTCAGCACTGGAAAGAAGTTTTACAAACCTTCCTTCCTTACTGAGGAGTTCCGGGGAGGGTCCATAAATATTTTTACTCCGTCTAAGGGCAGGAACGAAACGGAACCTATTATTCAATCTCTTTGATGCTATACATTAACTAAAATGATTACTAGTACAATTTTTCAGAAAATGTTTTTCAAAAACGACAATTTTTCCAAATAATCTATATACTTACTATGAGGAAAATTTTTTGGTTCCGCGATTGAGCACATGATGGTAAAAAGACTACAATTCTAAATACTTCTCAGCTACAAAAATAGCAACCTTTTTATAGAAAATTTTTCATCTATTTCCGGAATCTGAAGTTATCACTAGAAATCACAGGAAAAAGATCATTGTAATCGATTTGACATGAACGAAAACTCCACTAAACATAACCTTACATGACTGGCCTTCCATATGATGAAGCGAAAGAAGTATAAAGATTATTCGTGAATAAATGATAGCCCTCAGTAAGTCATGCGTATTTGTCAAGGACCCAAAAATAAACTGAGATTAGCGCGTACCCCGGTGAAATGCATGCCTCAAAAGCCTTAAAATAGGACTGCATCGCGTACAGTGGTAATTTCCGGGTAAAATATTTGTATTGTACTTAATGAAGGGCGTAAATTACGGGTATTATGACACGTTATTAGCATACACCATACAAGGCTTCCATTTACCTTTGAGAGAATGAAATATTTTTGAAGCTTGATGCATCAAGCCCAGTAATTACGACTAAATCTAGACTGTAACTGATTATGAGTAGGTTTTACCGCTGTAAATGCCACCTACTTTGAATCGCTATAGATATTGCTCAAAAAATTGTAAATAAACTCATTTGCGGAAAAAGCGTGGAAAGTAGTGGAATGCGAAAGTAAAATATTCAGTCATTATAAGACACTGACTTGCAAAATATTGAAATTTGACTTCAAAGAGATAATCCTTTGAAGCCGAACAAAAGATTTACTCAGACAACTGGCCGAAACTTCCGCAGCGCTTTCGCAGCATTTCCGCCGGGTCACCTGCGGAAATTCTGTGAAAGCACTGCGGATCGCTGCTGTGATGAAGTGCGGAGGGTTTCCGCAGCAGGGTTCCGCAGCAGTTTGCGTTACTAGTCTTCCGCTTTTTACTAAGCCATCATTCTTTTGATGTAATTTCCTGCGGCCTGCATAATGAAGCGCGCATCTTAATGGCTGAGTAAGTGCTACGGAACCGCTGCAAATTCTGCTTGTCTGGGAAGTTCCGGTGAATTGTCTAGTAGAGAGTCGATATAGATTTTTTGTGGCTCGACTTGAACCACGCCTTTCAGTCGCAAAAAATAAATTTTCCTGACTCTTCCCTATTTCCTATCCATTTAGTTTTCTTTCATTTATTTCCGATAGCTGCGATTTTACAGGAGCAGATCGATTGCGATCGATTCATCCAAGCAAATTTTCAAAAATTCACACCATTTTTCCATGTTTATATGTAGAAATTAAGCAAAGAAGTAAGGACACGTGCCGTGAGTATCATTTCTTAACGTTTAAAGCTGATCTTTATTCTTAGCCTTGTATCGCAACATTTTATGAAGAATCTTGCAATGTCTCGTAATCCGAAAAAGCAATGAGTAGTTTCACAAAAATTCTCGCTTCTTCCTTTAAGGTGACTTTCAGAAATTAGGCTATCCTCAATTAAAAGATTTATCGACGAAGAAGGTGAGACAGGAAGCATCAGATTGCCAAAGTCTAGTCTAGGCAACGAACAATGTAGATAAATGTGAATGTCCAGAAAAATTGCTATCATTAAAAGGGTGCTGAACTTTGAACAAATTGCGAGCTAACAATAAAATTTGTCCTAAAAACAGGCAGATGGGGCCCTCCAAGTTTGAACCTGATGAAATTTTATTATGAACAACCTTGAAAAAAGGGATTTTTGTCAGTCATTTTATATAGGTGAAATATGCAGCCCTTCTTATAGACAACCAGCTTACGAGATTGTGAAAGCAATCGTATCAAAATTTCAAAGTTTTGTCACAGCCAAAATTGTCCAAGAAAACAGACAAAGACCATATATTTTTTATACAAACGTGTTAAAATCACATTTTTTCGCAAACTTTCGTATTAAATTTGAGTTTTGGGTTGATGTTTTTGAATTATACAGGGTGTTTGAAAAGTTTGTAGCCTCAAGTACTTTAACTGCGAATCCTAACTCATTTTTTGCTATATATGTTCGCTAAACCTAGAAACCACTGGGTAAACCATACCTTAGAAATTTTGGGAGCAAACAAATTTTCCAGCTTATTTGGAGAGGCGGAAGAGTGCGTTATCTGAGTTTTTCTGCTTTTTTTTCAACGCCGGAAAAGGGAGGCAGCTTTCCGTTTTCTTACCTCAAATAGTCCTAAGTTTACACTTTCTTTATATAACTAAAGTTCCTCAGCAGCTTGCGAACAAAAAATTTTTCATGTTACATGTTTTTCATGTTTTTTTCACAACACGAATTTGCGTTGAAATTTTTTTGGTCAAAAATTTTGGAAGTCTTATTTCAACAAGTATTTGTAGCGCTGATCTCTTCATTGTATCAATTTTCAAAAATTTTGCGCGCTTGTGAAGGTGTTGAACATAAAATGAAAAAGTTTCAGTGCTGTGCTTTGTTGACGAAAAAATTCTGAAATTGATTCTCTTGCATTTCAAGGCAGGGTACTTCAAAACAAATTCACTTCGACGAAAATAAAAGCACAAGTAAGAAACCTTGGAGAAAGGGCTTTTAAAAGGTATACCAAGGTTTTTGTGAATTATGATTTCCTTCTTTGTAACAAGCGCTTCAAAAAAAGTGATCTGGAAAGCTATATTGATGCGTTTCAAACTAATAAAAAACTAAAAAACTACAAGAAGTAATGGTCTCTAGGCCTGATGAGCATAATAAAACAAAAAGCGCGTCAAAATTCGAGTTGGAAGTACTTTAGGCCACTTACTTTCCAAACACCCTGTATCTAAAGGATGAGATTCACTTTCTAGATCATACTTTTGGTGAGATTGTACTCACACGGTTTCTTGATGGAATGGTGAATGAATTGAATACCTAGGAAAAAATAATTTCAAGTGCCCTCAGTGATTCTGGATTCTCTTTATTATGTTTAGCATTTTCTTGAAAAGGATGATATGTTCGAACTATGTAATGCGCATGGATAATAGCATATGATGTGAGTGTACTTGCAGCTGACTATCATAACCTTTTCTAAATAACCCTATAGAATTTTTTCCTCATTGATAAATCCCAAGTTTCCATGCAAGGTCGAAAATTATGGTAATAGATGTCAAAGACAATTGGCATTCATGTAATTTCTTTTTTGATGAAATGATTTGCAAGCGTTTTATTCTGTGAAAAAAAGCGAGTAGTCAGTTGATATTGATAATAAGAGGTAAATTAACAAACAATCATCGGCTCAAAGGGAAAAAGCTATCAAATAGTTTGTATAGCTAGTGCACAATTGCAGTGACAACGATTATTTTAGCTTGACGAAAACGAAAGGATAGACTGTATAAGAGACAAAGCTGACCTTATTACTCTGTAATCTTATTATTCCATCAAAAGAAAGCCGCAGCATTTATTCACATATGCGTAGTAAACAGAAGATCATGCTGATTACGGTAAAGTAATTTTAGTCTTTGATGACGCATTTTTGCGTCATTAAATTTGTAAACAATCTGCAAAACTGACTATACATATATGGTCAGCGCTATGATGGGAGGGGGGATAAAGTTGGGAGGATGACAGGGGAGGGAGAAATAAGCCGGCAGGGACATGTACTACTATTACAGTCACTGATTTATATTTTCGCAAAATAAACTGTTCCCAAAAAGAAATGCACATGCTACTCCAGTTCCCCCCCCCCCCCCCCGCCTACTCCTTCCATACCTATGATTGTCAGCAGTTCTAAGTTTTCAAAAAATTTAACAGCATTTGAGAGGCTCCGAATCATAAAAAATTGCAATTTTTCGTTAGATAAATATTTAATTTGTTAATCAATTACTTACTACTCTCATGTGCAGAGCTTCAAGTTTAGAAAAACCTTTTGTACCTCCAAAATTCTTTAGACTTTCTTATTTTTTTCTCTCTTTACATAGGGAAGATGAGATGCCATAAAGAACGCTCTTTTCCATAATCCTTACTGTTAGAAAAAAATCCTTGTACAACACCTCGGGCAAAATGTTAGGAGTAGGCAGATGGACAACATTTTATAAAGCATTATGTAACAAGAGACAGCTAAACCAAAGGGATTAATACTAATACTATGCAAATGCTTGGTAAATATCGAACAATACGCTAACAGTGGGAGAAAATCTTGCAAATAACCCTAATTTAGAAACAAAAAGCAATAGAAAAACCACCGACCCGATTACCCGACTATTGCTTCCGTCACTTGGACAAACCTCCGCATAAAGAAATATGAAATGCATACGTTCTAGCCTCCAAAACAAGAGTGCATACTATTTGTAAAAAGCTTGTCGAGGCTAAATATTTGCCTTCAAACAAAATTTGCACTTGAACTCGGACAGAAGAATATAATAAGCTGACAAGTGAAGGTAATGTCTGGGAATTCTTTTTTTTTTCAATGTTGGACGTAGGTTAGATTTTTTTATCTTCCGTCCAGTTATTGTACGGTCCTGTAAACTACTTTGTACGGCTAAGTTGTGTTTCAAACAATTCGCTTTACTGAAGCTTAGTAAGTCATCGAAATTATCAGACTTCTAGAAAAAATTTTTAAAAATTGCTAAAATCACGAAAACTCCAGCTCATTTGGACTAGTCAACCAAAATCATTATTGTTAATAAAAAATTTGCGACCGTACGTAACGATTTTTTTAATAATAGTGAAGAGAACAATTTAGATATATCATGGTATCCGTAACGTATGCTGGAGAGAACGATGAAAAAATAAACATTTCAAAATAATGTAGCCGTTTAGTCATACTTACTAGTTAAAGAAAAAAATGCTTTTCAAACTTGGCCAAGATTCCAATTGGCTACCCATTTTGTTTTCGAGTAACATCTAGAATGAGGAAGAATTCCGGAACAATAGCAAAACTAAGTGATGCATGAGCTTAATGGCCCAGAGCCTATGAGATAGACCTTGACTAATTCAGAATCGAGACGTCAGGTGAAACCTAGAGGGAACCTTCCAAATTTTAGTCTACAAATGTCCGTAAGGAATCAGCCGCGAGGTTTGAGACGTCTGGAATGGATATTATCACCCTTTTTACGTAGGAGAGCACTTTGTATGATTATGATCATCGCAAAAGATCTATTTGAGTCCCGATTCTGCAAGATGACGAGATGTGGTCTAAAATAAAAGGTTGCGATTGGGGCGAAGTAGAGGTGCTTTCGAGATTGTTCTTTGATGCATCAACAAGGTGAATTTCTCAAAAAAAAACCTGATGAGGGGCGAAATTCTCGCATGCAATGGCTGAAAAAGTTTCTTTACATCGATTTTTTCATGCACATTTAGAAATCGAAGTTGTACATTTCGCTAGCGACAGCTAGTGTGTAAATGCACAACATGTCGTAATCACGAAAATCTTCTTCAAGACTCATTAGCTAATTTCCAGACTTATTTACAACACAACAATCTATCACGAAAGTTACAGAATGGCTCCCTGAATTGCTGCCGTTACCTTCGCTTCCGGGATAAAATAGCACAAACCAAGCACAGAACATTTATTTGTAATTCTGTTTATCTCGCAATAACAAATTCACCGTCATCTCTCATAGATAAAACGTAAGAAAATACAAAAGAAAAAAATAGTACTCGGTGGCAAAGAAAGACCGAAAAATTCACTAGCGAAAATGAGTAAAAGACGAGAATTTTCAGTTCAAAGATAATATTTACATGAAAACATGCTTCCTGCATGGTCACCCTTATTTCCCCCTCCGCCTCTCCCCCCTTCCACAGGCAAGATATTATGCGATAGTTTTATAGCCGATTCATGCATTCCCTGTTATCGGACAGTTTCCATCTCAAGCCACTTCATTCAATGGTGCTTCTTCGGTAGGATCCTTTTCCGGTTTTGGAGTGCTATCGACGCGAATAAACCTGCAAAAAATGTAAGATTTAAGAATCGCAGGAGATAATTGGGGGGGGGGGGGGGGGGAAGGGGGGTAGAAAAACAGGTAGATGGTATTGGCACTGTGGAGTAAGATTTTTTAAAGTATCGATACTGTTATATGAACGGCACTAAAAATAATTGATAGTTATGGTTGCTCGTAATAAAAGCAAACCCGGCCGTTGGTGAATGTGTTCTAAAGTATACCTGCCTTTAAGCATACTTATTTCAGTTTGGACGCCAAAGATAAAATTTTTGTACGTAAGTAAAACTGAGTAGAAAAGATTTAATTGTTGCGGAGATGATCACCGTAAGACTAGCGATATAGGCTGCTGTCAAATCAAATTTGTGTGACTGCACACAATACGCACCCGCACATCCTACCCTGGATTTTCCGGGTAAATGCTCGTACAAAATCTTTTTTTTTTTGAGTTTGAGTTTTGATTTCTTTTCCAGTGACCTTCAGTGAAGGTTCCAAAATGTTGCGTCTTCTCATAGCTTTCAAAATTCGGGAATTTTTTCGAATGTAGTATGGAGAAAATATGTAAAATATCAGGAGTATATGTATCATTCACTCTGTAACTGAGAGACACGAAATTGCTTCGCACACATCGTCTAAACTAAGTTAAACTTGTTTTTCCTGCAGCAAACAAGTCTAGGTCGGTAGATCACAAGTATAAACTTGTTAACCATACGATCAAGCTTGTTTTGGCGAGGTGTGCAAAGCGGTTTCGTGTCTCTTAGTCACAGAATGAATGATATATGCGACAAAACTAACAATTTTGAAATAAATAGCATCTGAGGCTACAGTAACGAAAAAGAAAATACTGAATAGAGTCTAAAAGTGCACTTACCTGAAGTACAAAGTGAATGCTATTGTTATCACTAATATCAGCACACAAGAAAATAGGACGAAAATGAGGGCGTTCAAAAACTAAAAATAGAAAATTTGCTTTTGTAGGATTTTTTGTCAAAGAAAAAACTATTGCTCACCTTATCGGGACTATTATCCCTGTGATATTTCTTCCTTTGCTTTGGGGTCGTGAAAATAAGCCTGGAAATTTTTAAGCTGGTGTAGTTCTTTTTCATAATTTCCGTGGCTTACTGTGTTGTTGTTCGTTCTTCTATCGGCCCAGGCATCATATAATGAACTCCATTTGGTGTTGGTTTTCTCATCAAAATTGACGAATGCGCAATTTCCAAAGAAGCTGGTGAGGGTTCTTCACTAATCGCATAAGCGTTGGTAATCCCATGTAGTGATCGGGTAGGTGTTGCCTAAATGAGAAATTGTTTGAAATACGAGCCAGAATAAGCAGATTATTCATATTTGACTGGCGATTACTGTTTGATAGTGTTCAAGTCTCTTGATCGAAAATGCCAAAATTCTCCTACTTCATAGGAAAAACCCATTGACTGAAGTTCAACAAGTTTTTAAATCTAAGCACTGTTTTTGTATCGCTCAAAAGGGTTGATATGCGATCAAGTTACTGCAAAAGGAATGACTCATCAATACAAAATCTGGAGAATTTAATACTGAGCTGTTTTTATGAAAATGATAATCTTAGCTTGCTATTGCTTTTTACTAATTTACAACACCAAGGCTTTTTCCACTTTCACGACTATAGACATCCCAAAATGTAATTCAATTTCAAAAATGCATATTTTTAGTAATTGAAGGAATGAAAGCGTCAAACATGTAAGAGAATTATGGGAAGTATGGAAAACAATTCTAGATGAGAGTAATTAAGTGGTAACGATGGCATATTTGTTGAACTCATTCCAAGTATTCGAAATTTTTCATAAGTGACAAAAGAGTGAAAGTAATCGTAGGTCATTCTCCCTTCCTAACCCTCAAAACATTTTCAAAACTTCTAATTGCAAAATAAGCTGAAGCCGAATGCGATTCAAAATTCCTCAGCCGAATTGTACAGTTTTCTTATATATCTTTTTTTTGAAGTTTTTAAACTATCTTTCCCAACTTGGCTAATTGAACCTCTTCTTTTCTAACAGAGTGTGAAGCTCGTTCTGCAAACAACTTCTGGATGAATCTTAATGCTTCCAATTTCAGTTGGCACTAAGAATGTTTGTGAAGAATGACTCGAATTTGGCAGATAATAAAGGAACGAAAAAAGCTGAAAGCAAAGACTGAGCAAAAGCAGCTGAAAGCACTACCAAGAATTTTTCATTCATGCTCACCTTTCGTTCCAAACCCTGTGAGTGTTCTACGTTTGTGACAAACTCAATCCATTGAGTTGTTTCGGTAGTTTCTTCAGGGCATACGGAATCTATCAATCGTTAAAATTTCATGTGATTATGTCTTTAGAAAGTAAATTAATAGCTATTCCGTAAATAAATCAAAACTAAGAGTAAGACTTCGACCTACCGTTTGAAGGCAGTGTAGCGATAACCTTGACAGTACCAAATGATTGTAGGTAACACTTTACCGCATCAATATCCTCTACCAAAAAATGGAAAATATATTTTGGGAATTTTCGCGAAAACAATGAATTTTTTACAACCTTATCCCTGTTCTTCTTCTCTCGTAACCATAATTGAAGTGGACTGGGTGAATCACAATCACACAGAAATCGAGTGCCGTTACCGCCAAGGCTGAGCTTCTTCACCTTGTCGAAAACCTTAGAAGACGGGGTTTTTTAATACCTTTAAGAAAATTAGGGTATTAACTACCTTGAGATCTTCGTTGCTAAGTTTTGAGAGTTTATTACCGGCCAGGTATAAATGTGACAGATGTCCGAGCTGTGATGGTACTTTAGTTATGGCAGTGGATGTAAGTTGCAGATGGGTTAGAGAGTTTAGGGTTGAGAGAGAATTCTAAACTGATTAATGTAAACAAAATTATTTACAAATCAATTTTTGTAAGAATAAAAAAATTTATTCTGCTTACGATATCATCGTCTGTGACCGGAGTATTTGTAAAACGCAAACTCGTCAACGAGCGTAGATTCTGGAAAAAAAGTACCCTGAAGAAAAATCTTCCTGACAAAGAAAACCTTACCTGAAGTTTTTTGATATCCCAGGTTTTCCAGTCAGCTGAATCTATTCGCAGCTCTGTAGTAGATGCAGGAAGATTTTCCAAATGGTCAAATCTAAGGTTTTGACAAACCAGTATGTTTTGGGCGTTCTGAAAAAAAAATTTTAAAAATTTTCAAGTGGAAAAACACGAAAGACGTTCACCCTTAAGCGTTCCATGTTGCTTGATCGGTAGCATTCGCATTCTTTTGGACATTCCATTCGGCAAAGGCAAAGCAAATCATCGCAGCAGGTGCAAGATTCAGGGCAAAACTATAAAGTTCAGAAAGTTTTTTGTGGAAAAACTACAAAGACTCTGATGAATGCTTGAAACATCACAATATATATAGATATACGCAAAGCAGTGATCAAAAACCTATTAACAAAAGAGCCTATCAAAAGAATAAAATAGAAAATGGAATAAACGCAAATGACTTTTTTCACTGATGTCATTCGGGAAAATTGTGGCTTTTGCTAAGAAAATATCCGGTAAAAAAGGTAAGTGCTTCCATTTTCCACCATTTCACCTTTTTTAGTGATTTGGAGTGAAATAATACAAACACACTTACACTTTCGTACTTGCAAGTAAGTTGATTGAGTTGATCAGCAGTGGTCAGATTCAATCGTTCGTTTTCGTCTAACAATAAAGAGCAGGTTAGTGTTGGCAGATCGAGAACTACTGGTGAGGTCTGAAATGCTACTCAAAAGAAAATTAAAGCAAAGTGAAGATAAAATCTGTTTTCTAAATGATAGGGAGACTCTTTTATTGTTTTGTTGACACTTTGGCACCATTAAGGTAAACGGAGCGCTTGCAATCCTGATATAAAAGAGAATAAACCACTGACAACCTTATCCTTAGCATGTAATAGCCACCGTAATCCACAATGACATTTGAATGGATTGTTTTCAAGAAATAATCGTAGTCGGGTTTTTGGTCCTGCGAGTGAGCCTTCTTTCAGTTCAGTCAAGCGATTGCGTCTGAAATCAAAAAATAAATAATTTTAGAAATTTGCACATATTTTTTCCTCTTTTTTGTACCACCAAAATTTGCACCAAAAACTTACTAAAACAGGTTTCAAACTGTCTAAAAACATTCCAGTGTCCTTCATATATTTTTATCACAAGCATTAATTTTGTATCTTTTACTTAAATTAAATCTATTTACAATCAAAAATAATTTGAGAATTTTCGAGGATTTTGACTACTCATAGAGGCATTCGTTCAGCACAAACTTTTTCAAATTCTGAAGATAAATATCAAGTTTAGGATTAATGAAGTCACAGTTTGTTAGGTTTTTTTCGGTGTCTTCCCACCCATTTCCAATCGTATTAGGTTGTCCGGAAATTAATGTCCGTTTTGAATTTCAACCGCAATAAGTCATATATTTTTCATTCCTGAATAGGCATCAAGATACCATTCGATAGAGCAAAGCAAGCTCTACAAGATGGCATTCTTGTTTTAGCAACAGCTCTAATCCACCTCGAGTTTTAGCCAAAAATTAAAAAGATCCAACTGCCTGAAAAATCGAGAAAAATCATAACTCATTTCAAAAGAATCCTACAAAAATTCTAACTTGCTCACGTAAACACTATCCACATAAGACATATATGTACGCCGTTGCCGTAATTTTCCTCTGTTAGAAATCAAGAAAACGAAAATTTCCATGCTTTTGCCAAAGTGATGCTGTGTCGTCCCCACATAAGTAGATGTATACTACATATCTGTAGAAGTGCAAAAGTAATTTCTCAGCGCTCCACAAGCTTTAGTTCTCGAGAAATATCGAATATAGCTCCATTAGTCAAGTGGTCCAAGCTAAAATTCAAATTTCTCGAGAATTTAAGCCTGTAGAGGGCTGAAAATTTACGATTGCACTTCTACGGATTTGTAGCACACATCTACTTATGTAGGGACGACACAGCATCACTTTGGCAAAAGCATGGAAATTTTCGTTTTCTTGATTTCTAACAGAGGAAAATTACGGCAACGGCGTACATATATGTCTTATGTGGATAGTGTTTACGTGAGCAAGTTAGAATTTTTGTAGGATTCTTTTGAAATGAGTTATGATTTTTCTCGATTTTTCAGGCAGTTGGATCTTTTTAATTTTTGGCTAAAACTCGAGGTGGATTAGAGCTGTTGCTAAAACAAGAATGCCATCTTGTAGAACTTGCTTTGCTCTATCGAATGGTATCTTGATGCCTATTCAGGAATGAAAAATATATGACTTATTGCGGTTGAAATTCAAAACGGACATTAATTTCCGGACAACCTAATACATTTGGTCTTTTAGTTCGTTAGTTCATATCGTCTCAAAGTACCAGCTAATTTTCTATTCAAGAGACAGTAAACACAATTTTTTTTCTATAATTCACCGGGTTTTTGTTAGAAAAGATCACGATTTTTAGGACCTCAACGCAGGAATTCTCTAACAGAAAGAGAAGAAACCCGAAATTTTCCCATTGAACTCACTTCAAATCCAGCAAAGCCAGCTTCTCCATATGTGCCAAAGCCCCCTCCTGAATGAATGCGATCCGATTGTTAGATAAATCAGCCTGCTTCAAGCCAGCAGGGAGCATATTCACAGAACCGCTTCCGGAAAGGAAGTCTAGCAAATTTCCGGACAAGTCCAATCGACGAAGATTTCTAGAAAAGAAGAGAGCAATGAAGAAATTTATTTTTCTCGCTCACCTCGCACTTTGAGGTAAATAATGAACAGTGGTGACAAAATTATGGCGAAGCGACAGGTCCGTCAGTTCCTCAGGCAACCTATGACCTGCATCAATTACCGTATGCACTCATCAATCGATATATCGATTTACCTCCGAAAATCAATATTCGTCAGTCTATTGTGGTCCATTGTTAGCACCTTCAACTTCGTAAGCGAGATCAGAGTATTTGCAAGAAAATTGATGGAATTGTTGCTGAGATCGAGGTGTATCAAGTTTCTGAAAGATTAAGATCAATTTATAAAAATGCTATTTTGTTGGAATAAAAGAACGAAAAATAAAAAGCAATATTTGGCTCAAAACGTATAAAAGAAAAGGGAAATATGAACAAAAAATCAACACAAAACGAAACAGTAAGCAATATCATTAAAGAAAATATTGTTGAAAATTGAAAATAGACTACTCCGTTGAAGTCAGATAGTTCCAATTCGTGAATAATTTCAAATGGTTGAAAATCGTTTAGGACAAAGAAAATTTAAAACCTGGAAAGTACAAGGAAATCAAACAATAAAGCACTATTCATTAGTAAATATTATATCTAACTTAACGGGGTTCCTCTAATTCTTTTACTATTTATTTCTTATTTCCCCTTTTCATTCTCTAGAATACTACTTCAATGAGGACAAGCTGTAGTAGCTCGTTGACAACGACAATAATCTTTTTCAAAAATTGCAAACCGCGAAAAAAAATATTTTTTATCCTCTCGTCTTGATAACAAAATCGAAGAGATCACTAACAAAATTGAAGCGAGAAAAGGATAAATCTATAACGAAATTGATTTGCGAAAAACTGGTAACAAAATTATGAATATTAGAGAAAAACGTCTATTTCAAAGAAATTTGCTCAAAAAAATATTTATCTTCACTGGTCTTGATGCTCTCAATAAAAAAATTTGATTCTGTAGTTTTTTTTGCAAAACTTACCCTAAAGACTTCAGCGCGTATGGTTCAATTTTCAGCTCATTCCCGGTCATATCCAAGGTCATCATATTCGGCGTATAGGCGAACAACTCGTCCGGAATCGCAGGTAATTTCGCATTTTTAATGATAAGCGAATAGAGCTGATGCAGTCCCTAAACAACCTCTTTTTACACGGATCCACTTGGGAAGATCTCTCTATTTTCAGTGATGTTTATGTATTCGTAGAGTTGACATATGTAGTGTGTGTTGTTGTTGTGATTGATGGCTAAGTTCCGTCACATGCAATCAACTCGCTTCAAACCCCAAAATGCGCTATATCATAGCTCCAGACTTAGCAGCCAGCCGCTATATTCCACTCCAGCCCAATGAAAAGGACAAATTTTCGTGACACTTTTGCCATGTTCGATAAGGCTTCAAAAAAAGCAAAGCAAACCGAAAATAGAGCGCTTGGAAGGCTGGCCAATTCGCATCGGTCAATTTCGAGGCGATCCAGATTGCGAAGACCCTAGAAATGGTAAAAAATAGCAGTTGGAGGCCTGGTAGGGTAAAACTTACCCGAAATAAGCCAGCTAGGGGCACGCTTTTCTTCTTGGAGAAGTGAGGACATCGAATTGTCAAAGTTCGGACGAGTTCTGGCCTTGTTAGGGAGTCGAGATTTGTGGTGTTGAGCTAAAAAAAAACTACAGTGATTTCTCAACAGAAAACAATTTGTTTCAATTTTCATGAACTTTTTGTTCTGCTGGAGCCTATTAATATATTTACAATAAAATTTACCATCTGTTCACCTACTTCTGCGAGTCATTTGAAACAAAAATGAGAAACCCTAGTAATCCAATTTTGAAACCAGTCCCCCAATTCTTTGGGTCTTGCCCAAATCCCTCGTTCCATGTTGCCCATTTCCCTTGTCTCAAATCCCATTTGGCTATCGCCTTTCCAATTCACTCCAAATGACCAAAATGCTTCTACCCCCCCCCTCCACCCCGCTAATACTGCAATTAATACAATTTGTTTATTATTGCCGTAAAACCCTGTCCGTAAAACCCAATGTTATCTTATCGTGAGATCGAAGAGCGAAAAGTAAAGTCCCTTTGAATTCTCGAGGGACCCCGAGGAGGAGGGGGGGGGGTCGAAGTGAGGGCCAGCTATCGAATAATAATAGAGTTCGTTTGGGGATATCCATCAGAATCAAATCAGGAGGGAAAAGGTCAACGTTTGGCGGGAAAGAATGAAAAAATCAGATTTTTCCTGTTGTTTTGGTGAAGGACTTGCTTATAGAAACTTAATCCCTCCCATAGCGCAGACAGTGTAATTGCACTAAGTCCCAAATGTGTCCCCCCCCCCTAGTCCCTGCCCTCGAACGTTGGTTGTTGATGGTTACAGCGCCTGAGTTGAAAATCTATGGAACACTAGGGAATGCTCTGGGACAAAAATTAGGATTTGTTTCGAAAATTTCAAAATAACTGTAAGATTTGAACGTCGAAAAAAATTGAAAATAATTCCTAAACTATAAAATTTGAAAAGAAAATTCTTAAACTAGAAAGCCATTCTTTTTAGCTTTCGCGTACATTTTTCAAACTTCATTTTTGCCGAATTCATCCCATCATCCAAGCCGTTCATTCACTGATTGGTTTAGGGCAACAGAGTGCAGGGACCAAACTTTTTTCCTTGGCAGGGCAAATTTGTCCCGTTGCGAAATTTTCGTTCGAACAGGCGATTTGTGCAACATGCGTGATAATTCCAATGGAATCATCTAACGGTTGCGTGAACAGCGACAAGTTTGAGCGAAACATTCCGCATAATAATCGTACCAAACACAGTAGATAGGGTAAAAAGAAAGAGCTAATTGCTTTGAGGATACGGTAATCAGTATGTAGTTGCTTGGACTCTCAAAAAAACTAAGAAAAATAAACTCTGAGTCTTGGGAATGCCGTGCTATTCATTCTGAAATTAAGAAACTCGGAACAGTGTTGTACACATTGTCAAAACAAGCTTAGTCATGTTTTTAACAAGCTTTAACTTGTGGCCACCTGTTCTAGGAGTACTTACCTCTTGGAAACAAGAAGGAACAAGTTTAAGCTTGTTTAAAGCGGTTCAAGTCTCCGGATATAATTCACGCGATTTCAGTCGCGACGCAATTTGGCAATATTCCAACTATCCATTTCTCACTGTAAGCACATTTTGAATGTACAGAAAATAGGGCATTTTATCAATCAACGTAAGTTATACGCACTATGCATGTGCAGTTTGCTAGTGTTGGATCTGAAGACCTTTGGCGAATTGCCAAATCGCGTCGCGAGCGAAATCGCGTGAAGTATGTTCGACCTTTTAGTTACGGAAAAAATGATACGTACTAACATCGTGAGAAAGCTCCAACTCTGAGCTCCAATGAAGTTGAAAGTTACTGTACCGTATCTATACCGTAATCCCTACCTCATCCCATTTGCAGATAAGATGCATCTGCGATCGACTATCCGGATCTTCATAGCACTGGCAACGTTGAGGACAAGAAGAATAGCCATAGACAGATGAAAATAAAAGAAGAAGGGCCGAACAGATTTCTTTCATCGTCGAAATATAATTTTTCTCATTTTTTTCTGGAAAAATAGATTTTTGAAACCAATGTGCACAGCCGCAAGGAGAACACGGTAAAAAATTCCGGATTCAGGGTTTAGCGAAATTCTTATGCAATGCGCTTAGAAAAGTGCAAGGCAGTTCCGAGATAGTCAAAAAAATTTCCTGAATCATTTTTAGCCCTGTGACTAGGCTATAAATCTTCAAGAAATATCGAGAAAATTTCCCTTGAAGCTTTTTTGCCTTTCGAAGGCTCCAATTTCAACTGTAGGAACAGCCGTCGAAAAGTCAAAAATGAACTGCAAAAGAAGTGAAATTTTAATATTCCAAAAATGTGCGGTATAGAATTTCCAGTCCAATTTAAAACCAGCTGAGGGAGGTCACTAGTTTGCCATTGACAGAGCATTGGTTGGTGTCGCAGAGCAATTTACTGGGCGGGACTCGTCCCTGGGGAACATCGCGACAATTTTCGGAAGTTTCGAAAGATCACGGAGATTGATTACTTTCAGTTTTTGGTCCGAGAAAAAAAATTCGCAAGCGCATGAAGATAAAAAGAATGTGTGATTGCACTGTTCACTGCCCTGGTTGGAAAGAGTTAAATTTAAGAAATGGTCGCGGTTCTTTTGTTTCAAAAAATCTTTTAGGAAAAATAAGACTCCTGGAACTTGACAATGGGCTTAGCGTAGTTCTCGAATGTTCTTTCTCTGCCACTGGAACTTTTCTCATTTTCTAATTTGTCCAGTTTCAACGACGTTGTCAAATGTGCACGCTATTGATGAAGAAAAAACTTTGCCATAAGTCTGCAAAGAAAATGAGTTCCGTTTCCATAAATGGCACTTTCTGATAGCGATTCGTTGAATGTACTAATTATCACCGTTAATAGTATCGAGAAATTTGTGCATTCAATAAGGACGAAAACTGGCAATTATCAGGTTCATAAGTTCCTCCGTTTCTAATTTTCACCCCAATAAGCACAAAATTCGTTCCAGATCAAGATCAATATAAAAATCTTAAAACTTTCAAAAGCCCGAATAATCAAAAGCGATCAAAAAATTACTAAGAACCTTCATGTCTACGCATATACAGTCCTCGTCTAACAATTATATACATACTTGCAGTATTTTTTCTAAAATTGTAAATGGGAAACAAAATTGGGCAAAAATACCGCCTTTTACGGGTCTTTAACGCTGAATTTGAAATTTCTCGAACTTATCGCTTGTATAAAGCTAAAAATGTTTGTTCATTTTTCTAATGGCTATAGAATCTACGTGGGAACAGCCCAGCAACGCACTTGTATTTTCTCGAGTTTTTGGGGCTTCTAGAAGTTTCTATATTTTAATTTTCGTCAGTGTAAACGAAGTTTGTGAGAACGTTTGAGCATCGCTGGTAGAGCTAACTCTGCTCTAACGAAAGATATCTCATTGCATTTTCTATGATAGATTCGGAAGAATAGGGGTGAAAAGTGAAAACGGAGGGAATTTATGAGACAATTTGATATTGAGTTGACCTGTATATCCAGCACCAGATGTTTGAAAATTTGTAACGTCTCGTACGTTCTGTATAATTGGCTTACAGCAAAACACTCATTGATGACATAACAAAAATAATCTGCCGATATAAGGTGATGTAGGCACTTAAAGTTTACAAATTTCACAGAAGGGTTCTATAAGATTAGTTTTGATCATGGCTTTGGTTTTTTGACTTTACTTCCTAACTGGGACTGATTCGTGCGGAACAGTTCGTAATTCAAACTCTTCACAATCTTATGGAAGTTTTACCGTAAATGGTTCAAGCAGGGGAAATTAATATCACCTCGTCAAAAAATTAAATTTACCCAAACAATTGCTCAGCTCTTCCATGTTAGTAGGGAGAAGCTAAGGCTTGAATAGGAGAAATCTTGGAGGGACACGAAAGAAGGAAACGAAGGTTTGATTGAAAGAATACACATTTATTATTTACCAGTGCGTCACCTCTGCTTCGCAGATGCTAGCACTGGTTCTACTCTATATTTACTTATTCTCGCCTAATAATGACTTTGAAACTCACCGGCAATGCTGACTGTCGCGAATAAAATGCAAACAGCTATTCATTCTAAAACCTTCTTTGAGTAAGATCGGTGATTTCGCGTGGATGTAACTTTTCGCAGAAGAGCAAATGCAAGTTTGAATAGGTTTTGAAACATTTTTAACTTGGTTGTCGCCATGAGGACGATAGTCACCATGAGCTACATCTCTATGCAAAAATCTTCTCAAATGCTCAGGTAAATCCACGGCGGATTGACCATTTACGCGAACACTTCTTTTTGGCGTCGTTTTCGTACCTTTAGTCACTTTTTGGCCTAAAGTCCATGGCTTACACATCAACCTGCTAAACACATCCACGGCTTTGCAAAAAGCGTTGATACGGACCCAGTTTTGCGGCCCAGAAGCCAAGTGGATCCGTTTGACGCGCAAATTCTGAGAGACCCATCCAGCGAATCCGTTCTTGCTTTTGTATGGTGAAGTTTTACGTTGGTAGCATGCGCTATGCAAAATTTGAGCCCTCGATGTCGGCTGGACGCTGTATGAAATTCGTTACAGACAGACACACACACACAAAGTCACGTAAGTCACGTTTCGAGAGAAACAGGTGCACTAGCATATCATTCCGCAACCCCAGGCCGCTGTATTTCATCCTAAATCTCATCACAAACTCCTCCCATCCTTTTCCCTGAGCGTCTGTGAAGGTTTTCACGGGTGGAGGACTATATGTCGCCGAATTTGGAAGAGTCCCGCGCGGATTCCATATCCCTGAAAGTCTGTGAAGGTTTTTACGGGTGGAGGACTATATGTCGCCGAATTTGGAAGAGTCCCGCGCGGATTCCATATCCCTGAGGGTCTGTGAAGGTTTTCACGGGTGGAGGACTATATGTCGCCGAATTTGGAAGAGTCCCGCGCGGATTCCATATCCCTGAGGGTCTGTGAAGGTTTTTACGGGTGGAGGACTATATGTCACCGAATTTGGAAGAGTCCCGCGCGGATTCCCTGCAATAACATATGTCCGCGCATGTACAAGGGTGCGTTTTTGTCGCAAATGACCGCGGGAACCGCCCTTTTTCGGCGACATATAGTCCTCTACCCGGTTTTCACACCTGGGAGGGCCATCGCGGCGAACATTCGCGCCATAGGATGAGTATCAGGGTCTCTACTCCTACACTGCGACTGGCTGCTGCATGCTGAAGAATTTGGCGCTGGCTTGTTCAGCGATTAACGATGTCTTGGCTGCGTCGCATTTCCTATGAGGAGTTTCTCGATATCCATATCCTGGATATGCTTAGTCATAACTGCTTTCTGCAATAGGGCTCTGTGCTTTGCAATGTGCTACGCGAACGTGTCTCTGCAGACGAAAGTCTAGCAGTGTATCACCGATGGTACACGCGTGTTTGCTCCACCTCTTCAGTGTACGGCCCCTGCGTGCAGGTGATATAATCACGTCTCCGTATATCTCCCTGGCACAGAAGGTGCAGTATCCGGTACATGCGCTCCTCCAGACGATCAGCACGTCCACGTCCTCTCGGTTTGGCTCCTCAGTTGAGATCCGGCCGCACTCCTCGTAGCACCCACGACAAGACTGATTTGAGCCAAGCGGAGCCACTTTATATAGCGGCCCGAGAAGAGAGCACGCCCCGATCGCGTGGTACCGACACGAATCAACCAAATAGCAAAACCATTGAAACACCAAATAAAAGCATACAAATCGACTAAGAATGACTAGATAGACACAACAGACAACGACACAAGCATTGAAGAAGCCCTGCGGCTTTACATGAATGCTTAAAAAAGGGACTAGCTATAGCCAATCTTAGAGCTCCCACATTAGCCGTAGCTTTCAAATGGATCTTTGCCACATTTTTGATAGGATCTTCTCACTTTTTAATGAAAATTCACAATTTTCTGCGGCTTCTCATCTTCGTCATTCGCAGATCATGGTACCCTCAAATCCTCAATCTCATCATCCTGTAAATCGCGTTAACGCATCGGATCATCGCTGACAGGGGAGCCGGTTCGTGTTAGACGAAGAATACGAGGCAGGCGATATCAACGAAAAAGTGCTTGATTCTTATCTGCACAGCTGTACTTTTCAAAAAGAGGCCATATTCATGGCTTCTTTCCCCATTTGATGCTTTCTCTCATCGATAACACGCAGCTCTTCTTTTCTTTTTCTGGTTTAAATTTGAATGTCTCAATATATTAGGTTGTTACGAAAGTTCTGTCGTTTCATATTTAAAGAAGCTTGGACTTCGACCATTTTAAGATAGATGGTTAAAAGTCTGGGACGCCGCTGAAAAATCTGATAATGTCGAGTTACCAGTTTTATGACCTACTTTTTGCATCTGAGAAAAAGTTGTGCTGTTTGGACGTTTTAATGAAAGTTATAATTTTCGAGAAAAGTGACAGCTTAATCAATTTTGACGTTTTCTATAGCAAACTCGAAAATTTTAACTTTTTTGCAGATACGTACAAATAACACAATTTCTCCTCAGATGCAGAGACTTGGTCATAAAAGTTATGTGCTGGCATTTTCCGATTCTTCTGCAGCATTCCAGATTTTTGGCGACCTAAAAATGACCAAAGCTCAAGTGATCTTCTTTTTTCTTATTTAATCTCTGCAATGAATGTACAGGGTGTCCCAAAAGTCCTTAAGCCTAACTTTTCAACGTAGTAACTTTGTTAGTATTACTCGCTTTTCAGCCAAATTTTGCCTTTGAGTTCTTCGTCTAGTTGCCAATATTCGTCAAGAAAATCATACCGTTTACAGCGTACATTCTCGAGATATACTTCTTGAAGCGAACAATACTACAATCGTGAAGACAAGCCGAAGGAAACGCACCTTCTATTCAAACATTTACAGCTCTTTTGCCTTTGGAGCTCTTATGGAATTTCAAACTGCATATTGTAGAGCTAGCTTCACTCTACATTTACAATGCAAAATCAATCAATAGCCTTCGTTCATTAGAGTAGGATTAGGATACAAACACTGAAGTTG